CACATTTATTCTAGAACTAAAGTAACATCTTACTCCCGATTTCTCTCAACAAGGGGACATGAGAGCTTTCAATCAATAAATGGGGGGAAAAAAAGTAACTGGCGTTACTTATTTGAAAAAGTAACTCAGATATTTTCTTGTAAATTAAAAAGTAATGCGTTACTTTACTAGTTACTTGAAAAAAAGTAATCTGATTACCAGATTCAACCTAGTGTGTGGATTTATTCACCAAAGAGAATACCAAGAGAGGGTGAAAATATCACACTCGCTGCTCTATTGAGATTACACAGATAAACCGGAAATTCAAATGAACACGAGCCATGTAATCCATTCCCTGTAGTCTGCAACTAATCCTTTAATGTTCAAGATCAAATGCTGTGTCACACACACACACACACAAACTGTATGACACCACCATGTTTGACCGTTAGCAACTACAAACTGACCAGCCTCAGTCCTAAACGAACAAACATTCCAATTAAGTACTGAAGGCCGTCCTGTGCACCATGCCTAACAACATGATATATGACTTGATAAAGAGCAAAAGATGTGCTCACACACACACACACACACACACACACACACACACACACAAACACACTGTATGACACCACCATGTCTGACCGCTGCAACTATAAACTGACCAGGCTCAGTCCTACATGAACAAACATTCAGGTACTCCTGACAACAGACTTGATATTTAATAACAACCTTAAGTTCCTTACCTTGAAAATTACTACTATATATAAAATAAGTATACAAATTAAGCAGAAATGTGACTATTAAATATTAATTAAATTAAATATGTATTAATATTAATTATGAATACATTTTAAATTAAAAGCTATTGTACCATGTAAATATCTCATAAAAGAGAAAGGTATCTCTCAAGCTTCTTTTTTAGAACTTGATTATTTATTTTATAATCCCATTTTGACTAATTCCTTTATTAATTTGCAATTTAATTAGCATTTTTTTTTTACATTTTATTCAGCAACCATGCATTAAATTGATCAAAAGTGACAGTAACAACTTTTACATTGTTAAAAAAAAACATCAATCTATTAATAAATGCTGTTCTTTTGAACTTTCCATTCATCAAATTACCCTAAAATAGTAATATAAAAAAGTATCAGTTTCCAAAAAAAAAAATTAAGCAGAACAACTGTTTTCAACTTTGATAATGATAGGAAATATTTATTGAGCATGAAATCAACATATTGGAATGATTTAGCTTTGTCATACAAAGTAATAAAGTAGAGTTAAAAAAATTAAAACAGAAAACAGTTATTTTTAAATTGTAATAATATTTAGGTTTACTGTATTATTATATGTATAAATATAAATATACATATGTAAATATACTTGCATAAATCAGTCAAGGCAAACAAAATATATAATATTAGGTATGAATTGTCTGTTTATTAATTAAAGAAAAACTGAAATTATGTATGAAAATATCACACACACACAAACATAAAAGGCAAAGCAGGACAAAATATTTTTACTTTTTAATATAAAAAGTTAAGATTTCTTCTTTCCTTAGACTAGCTATATATCACCTCCACAGCACTGAAGAATTAAGGTAAGACTAAAAAAATCTCTGTATATTGCACACTATATTAATAACCACTGTCAATAGCATCTATATAGAAACAGGCCCAGCTGTAGCTGTGGAGCAGACGTAAGCCACACGAGTCTAGGAGGTGCAAAGCTAATGGGGTTTGGACCGCTTGAGACTCTGCTTGTGTGTATGTCTGAGTCCGTTTGTGATTTCAGGTGCTTAACTGGGGCAGGAAAGTGAGGAGAACATAATTTCCTGCTCACAGGTGACGCTCAGTTGTGAGGACTGTGTTTACTAGCCACAAGTGCAATGATAAACCAGGTTGACTAGCAAGAGACTTGAAAGACAACCTTGTGTAAACTTGAATCTACTCAACTAGAACATTTTGAGTTCAATAATATAAAGCACCTTAGATCTAAAATGCATTTGGATTAATCACTTTGGCATGAATCTTTCCCCATCATTGAAAATACGCAACTCTTTACGTCACATGTATTTATCTTATACCCTAGCTAAGTGACATGCTCCAAACATAAAATATTCCCCTGTGGCTGGAACCCAGATAATGAGCCTCACGAAGCACACCAGATTTCCATGGTTTATTTATCTTGAATGCAGCATAGACAACAGTTAAAAATATATGTTTGCTTTAACCAAACGGTATTATCACAGGTCATAGGTCTGTTCTGAAAAAATAAAAAACTCAACAGTGAATTCATCTTGGTAGAAACTACACTAATTAGGCAGATGCTTCACCTGGACATGGATATGACCCAGATTACAGGTGAGGGTAAATATGTTAAGGATAATACATGTTTTTTCCAACAACAATGTTTTGCAAATGACTGATTCCCCTGAGCCTGAAACATTAAGATTCAAATGACATTTTAAAATTAAACAGTCAAACTATAAAGACAAGCAAATTTAACATTTGGCCCAGTATTTGTTCCATCAAACTTCTACTGTTGGTTATGCTTTTACAAAATTTTCCTAGAGTGCAACAGCCGGGTTCTGGAAGTAAAAATGCCATTTATTTTCTTCATAGGGAAACTGATTTTTAGTAATAACATAAACCATTAAAGACCGACCTATTGCAAACACAGAGGTTTTTAATCGATAGTATATGCTTTTGTTGAAGCCATCAGTTTGCATTATTCCAAATTATGTTTTAAATAGTCTTGTTTAACAGCAGCTAAAAACTACATTGTTTTACATCCCTGGTGAAAAACTGCATTACCCATGATGCTGTAAAGAAAATTGCTCCAATCAGAAAGGCGCAGCTCCACACCCGATGTAGTTGAATATGTGTGTGTGTGTGTGTACACCTTTTCTCCTGGTGATGGACCAGGAATCTGGCATCTCAGAGGACGTGTATTTGGTATTGTCTCATATGGTGGCTGCCTACAAAAATGTTAGGAAAATATTTTAGATTTAATATGATTTTACATATACTCTAATGGAAATCCTACTGATGTTGTAGAAGTTATTTGCTTACTGATATAAGTATCAGAGTTTCTTTTTAAATACCATTTTACAATTTTGACAGGGGCAGGCTTCTTTTCAGGCTCTTCAATACAGGGTAGAGTCAAAACCTGATTACTAATAGTTTTCAGATAATCGTCTGCATGACTCTGTGAATCAAGAAACAAATGTTTACAAGCATCATTCTTCCATGCTCCACATTTCACATATTTGTGTTTTCATTTTCATTGCATGAATCTATATATCATACAAGCCAGGGACTGCTAGATGACCTCAAATTCTTTTAATTATATATATATATATATATAGAGCGAGAGAGAGAGAGAGAGATCAAAATATATTGATTCTATATATATGATCAATAACTTTAAATTGACAGTTTTATATTTTTCCATCATTTTGAATTAGATTATATCATTCACAATGATTAATGGGATTGTAGTTCTTTCCCTCATTAAAACAGGTACACAGTACACAGATAAGTGAAGCACTTTTGTACTTTTGTCTTTTTGTCCGATTTTCAAATACTTTTTTGCTTTAAACAAAAGTTTGTAATGTTGTGATTCACCTTTTGGTTGGTTTAGTTAATGCTTTTTAATGCTTTAACAGGACTTTTTTGAAATCCCTATGGGAAAAACGAATGGAAAAAATACTTCTGGAACTGGAGCTAGCACCTCTGAAAAAGAGGGTGAACACACATGCACTCTATTCAGCCCATTTATGCCAATTTTGCATATTGTTGCACCAACGCACATCATAGAGTAATAGTAATATCCAATGTTTGAATTTAAGGACTTCTGTATTAAAAACTATTTTGATACAATTTTGCATCACCGTTTAATTTCCCATAAGGCCTAAAGCAAAACCAGCTGAGTAAATATTGTTGTGAAACCGTGCTCGAGTTTTTGAAAGAATTCAACTGGATGGCTAATATGAAAATGACAGTAAGTTCATCCGAGTTAAATGTCTAAAATGTCTACAGTAAAAGTGTTCCTTTTGAGGCAGCCTGTAATTAGGTGACAGTGTCTTCTGCTCAATTAGACTTTCCCTCACACTTCACCTCCAGCAAAATGGCTACAACCTTTTATCCAGTGGAGCTAAAATGGCAGACACTTGAGTGTTTTCCATTGATTATTAGACTATGTGACCAGAGCCATTAGAACAAATAAAATCTCATACATTTAATACAGTATCAGCTGCAAGTTTTAGACCATAAGTAATGTATATAATTTGCTATTTGTTTATGGAACATTTTATAGTGTTACATAATATACATTGTTAAATATTAGATATAATAACCAATACTACTATTATTATTTTAAGTAATATGGAATAATTGGAATATGGAATAATTATATGGAATAAGCAAAGGACACAAAGGATATGCCTTTGTTCAAAATGTGTCAGTTCAGTCGAGATATGAGGATCTACCTGGCTCTTCCATGTGTGCTATTATCCAGTTAAAGGCCATCTCTGCCCCCATGTTCCCAGTGTAGTACACTGCCTTCCGACAGGCTTCCAGAGGGAAACCCATCTCTGCCAGTTGCATCACAGATGATTCATCTATTTCTGGAGCTGAGGAACAGGTAGAGAATAGTGGCTTTTAACCAACATCAGCAGCCCATAACTAACAATAAATACACAGACCATATTTAAAGTCAACAAGAGAAACTAATGGACCATTTTGAGAGACTTTTAATATTGTTCATCGAATAAGTAATTTTGTAGTGCATGCACACAATTGTAAATATGTCAGATGTAATTCTGAATTTACAATCAAAGTGGTACTTACATTCCAAAGAGTTGTTTGTTGTACTGTCTGAATGCAAAAACAAGACAAAGCAAAGCAAAAGGGGATGCTAAATATGCAATTGTGCAAGCAGACTACTTTTTATTATATTGCGTTATATAATATTTAAAGAAATTCAAACAATGGCAAAAAAAAAACATAAAAAACTGAGCGATAGTAAGATTTTTTATTTTTAATAAAGTTATTCAGCTCACCAAGTCTGCATTTATTTGATAGTAAAATAGTAAAACAGTAAAAACGGTAATAATAATGTAAAATATTCTACATTTAAAATAACTCTTTTCAATTTTAATATATTTTAAAAAATATAATTAATTCCTATTATGGCAATGTTGATTTTCTTCAGTGTCACATGATCCTTCAGAAATCATTCTAATATGTTGATTTGGTGCTCAAGAATCATTTCTTACTATTATCAATGCTGCTTATTTTTGTGGAAACCATGATACATGTCTTCAGGATTCAGAAGATTGATTCAATTTGAAATAGAATAGAATTAGAATTAGAAATAGATTTTTTTTGTAACAATGTAAAAGTATTTACTTTTGATTCATTTAATGCATCCTTGCTGAATAAATTAATTTCTATCAAAAAAAAAAAAAAGTCTAGTCTAAAGTTTCTCACCTCTGGTGTCTTCAGGAATGACAATGGGAGGTGTAATGTCAGGCAGTTCTGCTTCTCCAGCCTGTAGCCCTGTGGCCCGGAGGCGATTCAAGTCCAGGAAATCAGGTACATCTACAGAAACATCTGTAGCACATAAAAAAAAGATTTTGAAGGAAATTATATATTACAAAAAGACATACTGTACACTGATACACTCAGAACAGACTCTGGGCATCATTCCTTTCCAAAAACCTTGCCAACAGTCATTGATCCCAAAAATCTCTCATGTAAAAATACAGTGTTAGAGTACCCTCTGCTGGACAAGGGAAAAGCTTCTGCTGAGCAAACATAACACCTTGTAAACTGATAGTGTTTTGAGGCAAGCAATCATGATGCATTGCTCAACATGAATAACACGTGGTGGTCTGAATTGCACAAGAGAGCATGTTATCCAGACACAGATGACAAACAAGAACATGACATATCAATAAATCTGCTTTGACAGGAGCTGGAGGTACAGAGAAACAAAAATCCTTTCATTAAGATTGGGAAAAAATGGGATGATCCAACATTTTGTACATGCTTTGAATGCTTATGTCATCAATGTGTTAATTTATCTACAACAATGTGAAATCAAATATACAATGTCAAACTAAGAGTTTACTAAAATTACACACCTAACTTTTTGGGCACCCAATCAACCCCAAATGTGAACTTCTTTATTTGAACGATCATGTAATCTGGGAAAGATGCGAAACGAGAAGTCCTGAAGAGAGAGAAAGATATAATCTTTTAGAGCAGGGGTTTATACGTATATTGGGATTTATATACATATACATGGGTTTATCTATAAACTGCCGCTCAAAAGTTCTAACATTGATAATATTAAAATATTACATGCATATTAAAATTATTTCTGAAGGATCATGTGAAGACTGGAGTAATGACTGGTGAAAATTCAGCTTTGCATCACAGGAATAAATTATATTTTAAAGTATACTACAACAGAAAACCATTTTTTAAAGTGCAATAATACTTCACAATATTACAGTTTTTTTTCTGTATTTTTGGTAAAAAAAAATACAGCCTTGATGAGCATAAGAAACTTATTTAAAAAAAAAAAAAAATTAAAAATCTTACTGATCCCAAACTTTTGAACGGCAGTATATAGGCTATAGGCAATCTACCTCATGAACAGTTAAATGTTCTCCCATTGTGCAATACAAATATGTGCATTAACCTAAATACTATTTAGTGTGTGTATATATATATATATATATATATATATACACACACAAACACAAACACACACACACACACACATAAATATTATAAAAATGACAAAAATACAATAAAAAGTAATGATAAATATTATAATTAAATGTATATATTAAATAGCATGAAATTGCGTTATTGTAGATGTAATCCCCATGATATTCTTCTAAATTTTGGAGAATGTGTTACAAGTCCTTCGAAGGTCTCAAAACCAGAACCTTGCTTACTTCACTCCGGCCGACTTGGCTTGCAGTGCAGAGCTCCAGAAGTCTGGAACATTCTCAGGCTCAGTGAAGTCTTGCAGACAGGCAGTGAAGGGGATTCGGGCTCTCACCGGCTCTGGAGGGGGCCGCATGTTCTCCTCAGCTTCCTTCCGCTTACTCTCATATGCTATTAACTCCTCTGTACAATCGACAAAACCATATGCAATTAAAACACCATTAGGTCTACCTGCACATTAGATTAACTGAAAAGAGCTAAAATAATATTAAACACAATAAAACAGTATCACCTGACTACATTCAATTTCATAATTTTGTATAGTCAGATCATGTAGAAATAGCTCTTTAAATGCAATAAAAAACCCATTTCAACTTTTTATAGTGCAGGAGCGATGTTTAACTCAGTTGTAGAAGGTATTACCTCTGTTGCTGGCAGCCTCTAAGGGTACAGGAAGCTGCATAAGGTAGTCCACTCGCTGTGTGTACCGCACCTTCTGTGTCTGACAGCACTGCACTCGCTCCTCAACTAAGAAGCGGAACACATCGCTGGGGGTCTCTGAGCCTGAACTGTTCCTCTGGAAATGGCAAAACACAAGTTCTTTTCTGTTAGAGCCATGGCACAGTGGGTAACACTGCACATTATAAGAGCTGGTTTGCTCATGGAAAAACAGATTTGAATCCGACCTGTTCACATTCGCCTTTTCTCCTTAACTTTCCTATCTACTTTTCCGGTCCATTAAAGGCAAAAGCCTATAAAAAGTTTTGTTGAGGCACTAAGAACCTTCAAAGACAGACAGCATTTAATACATTAATGAGATAATCCACCCAAAAATTAAAATTATATCATTATTTATTCACCCTTGTGTCGTTCCAAACCTGTATGCAGTTTAACTGTTCCTCTGGAAATGGCAAAACACAAGTTCTTTTCTGTTAGAGCCATGGCACAGTGGGTAACACTGCACATTATAAGAGCTGGTTTGCTCATGGAAAAACAGATTTGAATCCGACCTGTTCACATTCGCCTTTTCTCCTTAACTTTCCTATCTACTTTTCCGGTCCATTAAAGGCAAAAGCCTATAAAAAGTTTTGTTGAGGCACTAAGAACCTTCAAAGACAGACAGCATTTAATACATTAATGAGATAATCCACCCAAAAATTAAAATTATATCATTATTTATTCACCCTTGTGTCGTTCCAAACCTGTATGCAGTTTAATCTTCGTCAGAACACACAAAAAAAAAAAAAAGATATTCTGAAGAATGCTGGTAACTAAACAGTTTCGGTACCAATTGACTTCCCATTGTATTTTTTGCCCATATAATGGAAGTCATAGGGAACTGAAACTGTTTGGTTTTCATCATTCGTCAATATCAGATGTTCCACAGAGCAAAAATTCATACAGGTTTTGAATGCCATACAGATGAGCAAATAATGGCAGGATTTTCATTTTGGGGTGGACTATCCCTTTAACAACCAAAATTATGACTTAAAACACAATAATGGTCATATAATTAACATTTCTACAAAACAAATGGTAAACAAATCAACTTTGTATTTAAATTCAGGCATCTTTAGGGACAGTACAGCATTAGTCCATAATTAAGATCAACAAGGTCATCCTAGGGCAGTTTCGCTATTCTGAGGCCATACAGAAATATACCAGCCCTCCTCTATCAAGTCTGAGATACTAGAGACCACTGAGCAGAGAACAAACCTCCTGAGGATGTAGAAACGCACTGTAAGGTCCCTTCACTGTTCACAGGCCTTATGCCATTTCACACAAGGCACAGCTGAGGGTGGCTACAAATAAACCAGTCAACATTTCTGAGTACCAAACATTTCAAAGAACTATAGCTCTGTCTTGGTTTTATGAGGTTGACCCCACTTGGTTTATATGCACTGTCAGGACCAAGCAAACGTCAGCAAAGATTAGGTCTTGATCAGTTCATCACTTCAAAATCAAACAACTATATAAATATATCAAGATTTTTAAAGCTTCACCTGAAATCTAAATTGACTATTTTCATAATTCTATCTCTATTGTGAATGATTCTATCTACTGTATTTTGTGGACAGATCTCTATTGCTATCTCTATTGCGAATGATTTGTTCTATTATAAACTATTCATCTGTGCATGTTAGTTAAATTATAAAAAATGTCACTAGTAGGCATTCCTACTCGACCTCTGTATCTAACTATATTAGGTGGGTGATCATTGCCTGCACTCCCAGGTAGTTGCTTGTTACATCACATTACTACTTACTCTACCATTCAAACGTTTGGTGTCAGTAAGATTCAGCATGGATGCTTTAAATTTATCAAAAGTTACAATAAAGACAATTATAATGGAAGATTGGTATTTCAAATAAATGTTGTTGTTTTTTTTTTTACTTTCTATTCATCAAATAATCTTGAAAAAAAAACGAAATCAGTTTCCACAAAAATATCAATCAGTTTTCAACATTGATAATAATATGAAATGTTTCTTGAGCACCAAATCAGCATATCAGAATGATTTCTGAAGGATCATGTGACACTGAAGACTGGAGTACTGACTGATGAAAATTCTGCTTTGCCATCACTGGAATGAATTACATTTTATAATATAAGAAAACTGGCAATTCTAATTCCAAAAGCAAATCACTCTCAGTGTGAATACTCCTTAATAACCTGCTAACCCTCTGAACTGACTTTCCTTTTCAGCTGATCTCACCAAGCACTTATATTTTCCAAACCCTCCCTCCAGCCACCTGTCATATAGAAGCCTTTTTGCATGATCCAATCAGTTCAAAAGTATGTCCCATTGTAGCAGAAAAGGGAATTCTATTGGGAATTCTTAATTATATGCAAATTCTATTTCTTGTTGACATAGTCTAACAGTGCAGCTCCACTGTTGTTTGTTTTTAAGTCACGGAAGTGTCAGGGAAGGCAATGACTTTCATTCTGGACATAGACCAAGTGGGGAGGGTAACAGGAAGCATTATCAGCCCTGTGTAACCAATAGGGGTATCTAATTTTAACTCAGTTGAGAAAGTCACTTTAAGTATGTGTCTGCCAGCAGAGGGATAGAGAGTGCAGTCAAATGTGTCTCCTGAAACCAGAGCCTGCTGACAAGACTCAAGGTCTACAAACACGTCTGGGGAAATTCCAGCCAAACCCTAGAAACCCTTGATTCTCTGAAATCTTTTTTTTTTTTTTAAATAAAAGAAGACTGCAAATGACACCCTGTATCAATCCAAACCCAAATGTACAAAAGGAGTCATCTAGAAAAATGTCTATTGCCAAGCTGCTCTTGTTCCGTGAAATTAAAGTAATTTATAACCAGTTTTCAGCTTTAAAAAAGTCACATAGGTTTGAAGTGACATGCGGGTGGTTATTTAGAATTTTAATTTTTGTGTGACAGACATGAAATCTTGACAGTCAAGGAAATATTGTGTTTTCCAAAAAAAAAAAAAAAGAAGCACATGAAAGAGAAACACATTCGTACCTCCACCAGGTTAATTAAGTGCAGAAAGAATTCATGAGCATCTTGTTGCCGGTTTGAGGAGAACTCTGGGTGTCCTTTACTGACCAGCGCTTTGAACATCTTTGGTGAAATCCCTCTTTGCTGCTGCTACCGAAAGAAAACAACATGATACATCTTGTTGATACATCAGAATCACCAAATGCACTTTAAAATGTCATCAGAAAACCTATTAAGAAAGTTGGATCGCAGCATGACATACTTAAACACTCTTAAAAGGCCACAAACCTGAACTTTATAGGAAAATGGCAAGCAGCATTTTTTGTTTCATAAAAAATACATCAAATTAAGCCCATGTATTCTTTGAACAAGAAATTATTTATATTATTTTGGAAGCATATGAACAATTCTGTATAAATTCAGTGGACCTCCAAATGATTATATTTTAGTCATTTATAATGATATTTAAATAAAAAACACACAAAAACAATGCAGGACACCTAAAACATTAATTTAGCTTACGAAAACAAGCGCACCAAAAGTACATTCATGTCTGCAAACCCATGCTGCTGCTCATTTGCTTACAATTAAACTCTGCTCAACTTTGTTGTATGATTTTGTTTGTTGTGTTCACCTCAATTTGCCAATGAATGACCTCCAGTTATTGCAAAAATTGTCAGAATGACTGTACCTTAAGGTTGTTTCAAATACGTCTGAAATAAGTAACTAGTAGGCACCATGGGTATTGGTCTGACAACGAAGGCAAAACAGCATCTTGTAAGTGTAAACAGAGTTATGTAAACCTAATTAAGCCAAATATCAACAAGACAGACCAAGTCAAATATCCAGTTATTGCAAAAATTGTCAGAATGACTGTACCTTAAGGTTGTTTCAAATACGTCTGAAATAAGTAACTAGTAGGCACCATGGGTATTGGTCTGACAACGAAGGCAAAACAGCATCTTGTAAGTGTAAACAGAGTTATGTGAACCTAATTAAGCCAAATATCAACAAGACAGACCAAGTGAAATACCTTGTATTCTTCTTTCATCACCTGTTCAATAAGATCTGATTTCATTGGAGGTTTTGAGTACTGGCCTGAGAGAAGTCCATGACCAAGTTTTGCCCTTAAAAGGTAGGAAAACACACGTTCCAATTTAGATACCATGTCAAAATTACACAATTTAGTAAAGACGTGTTTAAGTGCTGCCATATTATACTTTAAATGAATTATCAACCAATGCAACTGTCATATAGTAAAGATATGTATAATATTGCATTGCAATTATACAAGAATTAGATGTAATTTGAATTTCAGAACTAAAAAACAAGATAAATGCAACATGATAATCACATTCCATGACAAAAACACCTACATTTGTGTGCTGAAATCCTGAGTTGGGTCAAGGGGTGAGTAGTCAAATATTCTCTGTAGGTTCCCAACATACCTGCAGAATAAATATTGGAAAGAAAAGCAATAATTTCTTACTGTCACACCTGCATATTGAATTCACTAAGTAAAGAAGCCCCTGGCTAGATCCTTTAAATCTGGCACTGAAATAAAATCACTGACATACAAAAGAAAACAATAGCAATCAAACTGTTAGAAGGCAGAGTTTAAAGGAACAGTTCTCCCAAAAATCTAAATTTGAAAATGTACACACCCTAAGGCCATCCAACATGTAGAAGAGTTTGTTTCTTTATTGGAACAGATTTGGAGAATCCAAAATCCACTGATGTATTTGTTTAGAACAGTTTTGGACTGCTTTTGATTGTAAATGGTGCTTGATCTGTGCATATGTCTCTCCTGATGCAGACAAGATTAATTTTCACTGGAGAAAGTAATATTATTGAAACTAATATTATAATATCTAGTATTATGGAGGACTCATATTTTAGCTGAAAGCAACTGTTTGAAGTTAAAAGCGTCTTGATGATATTATTACAAACATGCAGCCTTTCACTTCACAAGATGTTAATTGATGGACTGGAGTCATGTGGATCACTTGTGGATTAGTGTGATGATTTTTTCAGCTGTTTGGACTCTCATTCTTACGGCACCCAATCACTGCTGAGGATCCATTGGTGAGCAAATTATGTAATGCTAAATTTCTCCAAATCTGTTCTGATGAAGAAACAAACTCATCTTGGCTGGCCAGAAATGTCATTTCTACAGTGTGATAGCATTCAAACTCGGCTTCTTTCTTTGTACACAGACTCAAAGACAATGGTAGGAGAATGTGGACAAGTATGTAGAATGTATTGGGCCATTAAGGATTTTAAGGTACTTACGCTCTCTGGAACTCTGGAATACTGAAAAGCACTTGCATAGTGGTGCTCAGGTAGCAGCTGTTGCCCAGGTTTTTGATGCCCGTGTATCCTGAGCCATAGACAGGCTTTAGCTTTAGACTGGACTCCTGAATCACTTCCCAGTCACTCACACGCGGCTGCACGTGGTTGTCTGTATGATGGCCATTCTCTGTCTGTGAGGGATGGACATAGACATTTGAGGAGATTGGAAGGAGGCAGTGTTGCTTGTTTTTGCTTAATTGTTTAACTATTTAATTTAGTTGAGTTGAGTTGAGTATTATATATATTGTTTTTCACTGCATAGTCAAATATTAAGAAGGTATACTTTTATTTTGAAAATCTGGAAAACTTTGTATTATGTGGAGAAATATATAAATATGGAAAATATAAACAGAAAAACATACCCTTTGCATTTGCAGCATATCTATTCCGAAGTGTAACAAATGTTCTGATATGTGAGGATCAAGCACCGCTTCTTCTTCATCGAAAGAATAAATATCTGCAAAAGAGAGATAGTAACTGAAACATTCGTAAAACCTTCTATAAATAATAAAAACAATGTCTAAATTATGTTTGAGCCTGAATGTATTGTGTATGTTATACATGTGTACCAAACATATTCCCTGAAAGTCTGTGTGACACATGAAAACCTGTCATTGAGAGACACTTACCTGCTCCATCTGGGTTGATTGTGTCGAGTTTAACTGCCAGGGGGAAGTTGGTTTCTTTGTAGTGCTCAAGGGCATGTCCGTTCCCTCCGCTCCCATCAAAGAACCACTTCCCACAGAGGACAGAGCCATCCGTCAGGTTTAGCCACAGGTTCTCTCTCATTTCACACTTGGCGCACTTCCAGCCACTAATAGGACATAACCCATATTGAAGACACAAACAGGCAGGAGAGGAACTCCTCATATTTCAGTTCAGTTATGAGGCTATGTTACTCTATAATCCACTGACTGTATGCTGTAATCTTATCGTGTAGACCAAGACAGAGACCATTTCCAAAATATCAATATATCGGCTAGACCAGGGGTAGGCAAGTTCGGTCCTAGAGAGCCGCAGTCCTGCAGAGTTCAGCTCCAACCCTAATCAAACACACCTGAACAAGCTAATCAATGTCTTCAGGATTACTAAGGCTATAGGCAGGTGAGTTTTTTTTTCAGGGTTGGAGCTGAACTCTGCAGGACTGCGGCTCTCTAGGACCGAACTTGCCTACCCCTGGGCTAGACCAATCTTGGCCCATATTTGGCCATTTTGAGATTATCTGCCACATGGCTAAAGAAACCCCCTTTAGTGTTGTTGTTAACTAAAACTAATTGTTTTTGGCAATTGAAATTAAGCTGAACTATAATAAAAATATAAATATTAGATGAAAAACAAAGAACATTTTGAAATAAATAAGTTTTAAGTTGAAGCACTAAAATTACTGAAACTGAAATGAAAATAAACTAAAAGCTAAATAGAAATTTAAAAAAAAAAACATAACAAAATCAATAAAACTGAAATTAAAATGAAAACTGAAAATATAAAAGCTAATTTAAAATATTAATAAATACAATAATCCTTTTGTGTCTGTTCTTAAATTAAGCAACAACCTTGGCAACGGAAAAGGCACATTTTCTCTTTTCAAGTTTATGGTTTTATAGTTTTAGGGTAAATATGGTAAACAACTGTTAATTTCATACATTTTGTTATTTCACTACAATTAAACTACTATTTTATATACCACATTATATTAGCCATCAGACACCCTTCTCTCTAGATATCAGCATCAGTATCATCATTTGAAAATATTTTTTTTTTCATTTGAAACTGTCTAAACTGTTAAAGGGGTCATATGATGTTGCTAAAAAGAAAATTATTTTGTGTATTTGGTGTAATGTCCACAGCGACCAGCACGGATCAGCTCTAGGCATGACGAAGCGGATATCGTCCTCTTTTGGAAGGCCAAACAAAGTAGTTTCGCTTTCACAACGAAACACACAGCATCTTCGCGACATGGCGGCAGTGGCAACAACAATACTACAGCGAAAATAAAAGTTACGCCTTCTTTCTTTGCATGAACATTTGGGTGGAGTTATGCAGATATTCCCACACAGTGACGTAGACATGTGGGGGCGTGTTAGAACGAGCCGTTTTAGGTAGGTGTGGTTGACTCTTAACTTTTATAAAGAATATCTCTTTGGATTTGAGACTTTAGTCTTTGCAACTTTACAGATCTTCTTTATGCACCAAGAACTTGTAACACTCCAAAGAGAAAGGAAAAATTGAAATCGCATCATATGACCCCTTTAAAGCGCCCTTTCACATTTCAATAGCAAGACATAAAGATTACGCAATACCAGTCAGATTCAAATAATACAAAAAATCTGTTTATCTGCTCGGATCTCATTTCATCCCATGTAATTTCAATTAGAATCATTTAGCATTGGTTCCAAATGATCCAAATTACCTTTAAGCATTCCTTAGGAATATTTGATTAGGGATATCGGTCAATCACTAATCTTTAATGTGGTTAACCAACAGCATGCATTGCCTCATACATGTCAAGACATTCTACTGGGTGTATTAATAAGTTATCCTAAACATATTCAAGCACTTATTCAAACATCAATAGCTTGTTTTGATATTAATCCACCTGGCAGAGAAAGCAGACATATCAGATTCAAGGGTGACCTGAAGCAAGCATCGGCAGTCTCTAGAATGCTAGTCCATGTGACTCTGGGCTCCCATGTGACCAACCTGGGAGGAATTCGAACCCTATTATCCTGCTGTCTAAGACTTCTGGCATGTCTAGATACTTGGATCTCCTCTTCCCATGAATCAGCCTCCTGCTTTTTGTATGGAGATGAAGCATTGAGGACGGCATCACAGGCTATTGTAACCTGAAAGTTAAAGGGACACGTGAACATTACATTGCTTAATGTGATATTGCACCTAATGAGTGCTTACGAAACCACAGCAAGCTGGAAAGTGGTGCAGACTATTACTAATTAGATTTAAAAGCCTTGAAGCTCCTGGGCAGATAGGTTAGATAATGCATCTATTTTCAAGGTAATAAATATTAGGGCAGCAGCAGTAAGTAAGCACACCATGCAACTGACAAACACAAAAATGTGTTTAGTTGTGTGCTACTGTATGTGTTGTATGAATAGCTGAAGTACAACATAAACTGTAACAAATGAACCTTTTTGCATCATGTGTACTAAATGAACAAATATTGAGATATGTTTGTACACTACTGTTAAAGATTATGGGGTAGGTAAGATTTTTTCATTCTTTTGATAAAAGTTTCTTATGCTCACAAAGGCTGCATTTTTTAAACCAAAAATTTGAATAAAAACTGTAATATTGTGAAATACTGTCACAATTTAAAATAAAAAATATTTTCTTTAAATACATTATACAATATTTTTTTATTTCTGCATGGCAAAGGTGAATTTTCAGGGGTCATTACTCTAGTCTTTACTGTCACGTGATTATGCTAATATGCTGATTTGCTGCTCAATAAACTTTTTTATTATTATCAGTGTTGTGCTGCTTAATCATTTTGGGAAATTGTAATTCTTGATTAACACAAATTTAAATTTTTTAATTAAATCAAAATTTTATTTGAAATAGAATTTTAATTTATAAACAACGTAAACGACTTTACTATTACTTTTGATCAACTGAATGCGTTCTTGCTGGGAAAAAAAAAGTACACATTTCTTTCAATTGAAAAAATCTTACAGCTATCGACTCCAAACTTTTAAACGGTAGTTTATATTTTGAGAAATTCACAAACAGCCCTGTGGAAAATACATATTTTTTTTATTTAAAATATTTGTGGTGAATTTTGAGTAAATTCTGTGTAAAATAAGCGTTTAATTTTCGATTTTATCTTTTTTTTTCTTTTGTTTGCTATCAATAAGAAATTGTATGGTAAAATGGTGCTGGGAAAAAAAAAGTACACATTTCTTTCAATTGAAAAAATCTTACAGCTATCGACTCCAAACTTTTAAACGGTAGTTTATATTTTGAGAAATTCACAAACAGCCCTGTGGAAAATACATATTTTTTTATTTAAAATATTTGTGGTGAATTTTGAGTAAATTCTGTGTAAAATAAGCATTTCATTTTCGATTTTATCTTTTTTCTTTTGTTTGCTATCAATAAGAAATTGTATGGTAAAATGGATCAATATTATAACAGCCATCAGCCAAATTGCTCACTCGGTATCTTTGTTTACTCCTTTATCACTCTTAATATTTTCAAAAATATCAATAAAAACACAAGACATGCTGTGTATTCAGGCAGCAATGACTGATAATTTTGCTTTAAACCAAAAATAATTATAAGAATTCAGATCTAATAAGAAATAAACTTGTTTTAAAAAATCAAAATTAAATCGGTAAGACTAAGCCTGGGCGATAAAACGGTATCGTATCTTTGTTTACTCCTTTATCACTCTTAATATTTTCAAAAATATCAATAAAAACACAAGACATGCTGTGTATTCAGGCAGCAATGACTGATAATTTTGCTTTAAACCAAAAATGATTATAAGAATTCAGTTCTAATAAGAAATAAACTTGTTTTAAAAAATCAAAATTAAATCGGTAAGACTAAGCCTGGCCGATAAAACGGTATCGATATTTATCGACGGTACATCTTTTTCGATAACGATATAAAAAATGTTCGATATAGCACATGATATAGGCACGTACTATGAGTGACGCAGACAGCACACACAAACATGAACACATGCTGAATTGAGTGCTGTGCCTGCCTGTGATGAAGAGATTGTGAATACATTTTTTTTTATATTAGTCGAATTTAAAATAAACATTTGCATTTGAATGCAAAAATAGTACAATCAAATGTTAGGTGTGTGTCTGGGAGCATCATTAGTGGAGTGCGAGATGCGGTAATGATGTGAGTGACGTTGTTGCATTTTAATGTTTTTGTTAGTCTAGCCCACGAGACGCCCGCTGCTGCGTTATTCATTCAAAATATTAGAGAAATGTATTAGCTCAATGCAGAGAAGATCTTGATTAGGTTAAAACCGAAACAAAGCCATTCACACAGAACGCATATTCAGCGCATTTTTAGATGGACAAATATGACTGCTGCACTCGCGTCTCATGCAAGAGATGTAGCCATGCAAAGTTAAAACAGTTTAAACTCAGTAGAAAACACGTCGCGAATTTGTGGAGGTTTACTCCTTTTCACTGCGTCTCTTATGTTTTTAAATGCAATCTGAGTGAATGGCGCTTCGGCTCTTTGTATTAAGCAATGCATAAATACATGATGCTGTTTTGTTAATAATTGTTTATGCAATTTACTAAATTATATTTTATTTATATGAGTTAATGTAGACGTAATGCACGTTTTTTTTATAGACAGTTATTTCCTTGCGTTGACAATTTAAATGTGCTGCATTATTTTGCTCATTGCACCCTCCTGTTGCCTCGGAAGACAATTAGACCTATTCAATAAAGACCTATTTAATCTGCATATAAAACATTAGAAATTAGATGTTTGTTTAATTTTTATTTTGTTTGTCTCAATAAATTGGGTTAATTTAAAAATACAGTGGTTAAATTTAAACAGTTTTTTCTATTGCTCTTTGTTTTAAAAAAGGTTATAACAAAATTTCAATAATTATCAATATCGAACGATATTTAACGTTATATCGTTTGATACATTTTTTAGCTATATCGCCCAGCCCTAGGTAAGACTACCTTAAGACCTATTTAATCTGCATATAAGACATTAGAAATTAGATATTTGTTTAATTTTTATTGTGTGTTTGACTCTTAAAAAATAAATATTTGTTGTTTGTCTCAATAAATTGGGTTAATTTAAAAATACAGTGGTTAAATTTAAACAGTTTTTTCTATTGCTCTTTGTTTTAAAAAAGGTTATAAAAAAATTTCAATAATTATCAATATCGAACGATATTTAACATTATATCGTTGATACATTTTTTAGCTATATCGCCCAGCCCTAGGTAAGACTATAAAACAAAAACTCATATTACTGCTACACCACATGACATCACTGCACACAATGAGAAGCATGAACAGTGAGTTTATAAAGTATAAGGTCATCTGCAGACAGAATATAATGTAATGACGTGATGTTTGACAAGCAAGCGTTGAAACTGAAAAGGCAGATCAGGCCTTTGGCATGCAGGGCACACAGGGCACATGAGCACACACTCTCACTAACCAGTGCGGGCAACTCCTCAATATTTGGTAAAGGGATCTCAAAGTGGTCTGGAAATATGACAAGCTTGGCCTCATCTTCATACTCATAATCAACTCCGTTAAAATCACGGTTTAGCTCTAAATCTTCAGGAAATGAAGCAGAAAGAGATATTTTTAATCAAGAGCTAATGGGATGACTGCACTCAAAACAAGTGCTTAAAATGTCCCCAAAAAATTAATTAATAAACACATGATGAAATTGCACAAAACATACACATTCAAAAATAGCTGTCTATTTTCATATTTATCTTTAGTATGTTTTGATGAAACATTTTCTTGAGCTCCCTTGATTGAACCAAAAACATTCAAATTTGAGACTAGAATGTATATCAATGTCTAATAAAAGTGTATATTTCAGGGGCAGCAACTCTCATTTTGTCTTTTTCAGGTTTTTAACACCCTTTAAAATGGCTTATTTGAAAGTGAAAGTGACGTGACATGTGGCCAAGTATGGTGACCCATACTTGGAATTAGTGCTCTGCATTTAACCCATCCTAAATGCACACACACAGCAGTGAACACACACAAACCGTGAACACACACCCGGAGCAGTGGGCAGCCATTTATGCTGCGGCGCCCGGGGAGCAGTTGGGGGTTCGGTGCCTTGCTCAAGGGCCCCTCAGTCGTGGTATTGAAGGTGGGAGAGAGCGCTGTACATTCACTCCCCCCGCCTCGAACCCACAACCTTTGGGTTATAAGTCCGTCTCTCTAACCATTAGGCCACGACTTCCCTATTTTACACTTAAATAGTCCTGCAATGCAAATTTTTCTAATTTTCTCTGTAGTCTCTCAATCAAAATGAGGTTATGAAAACAGCAAGTTTTATTACTATAAAAGAATAATAAATTAATTTTATTAGTTTGAGTTTTATGATAACATGACTACGAAAACTGACGGACTGAAGAAAGTATTTGATTGCATATGTTTGCCCTCTAAGCCACTCCAAGCAGACATATCCGTAATAGAACAGTCTGAGTTGCCTAAATGACATATTTGGGAAAGCATTGTGGGTTTACAAAATGACTGGCATCCTTTCTGACGTATTGTCCTCAAACAGAGAAGGAGGCATGTATATTGATTGGATGCCTGAGAATAAGGGGCCGCCGGTCCCCCACCTGCTACGTCACACCTCCAACGGCAGAAGTGTGTCAGCTTGGGGGGTTGATAGGGCACAGCAGCTGACAGCCACAGTCGGCCACTGTAAACCAACCCTTCATAGCAGAAGATTAGGCCAGGGCAAGCATGTGGCACTTTAGATTTAGAACGGTTACTAACTGCATATACAAATAAATGAGCTAAATTTAGCCCCAGCCCAGTAATTAATTTTTTATTTTTATTTTATTTTATTTAGTCATTTAGCAGATGCTCTAACTGCATATACAAATAAATTAGCTAAATTTAGCCCCAGCCAGTAATGACTGAGACTGCTAAACATAAAAATACATGGCTTATTAAAAAAGGTTTGAGGTAGAAGTTTAAGTCTCTGCTTTTTTTTTTATTTTTTTTTTTTACTTTAAAACAGACTTACCTAAAAATATTTTTCCGTTCCTTCTTCTTGGTATGGCACCCCCTGCAGCACCTGTGGCTTTCTGTAATTAACATCAGGAAACAACATGGGTCATAAAACTGTAAAGTGCTTTGTACTCAAATATTTTATGTGGTATTAGTATGTGATGTGGATATTTTCAGTATTTATAAGCAGCGCTGACTCTATTCTGTTTGTATGTTTGTTGTGGTTTAATTTAGTTTCTGTGTTTTGAAAATGTAATAAAAGAAAATCAAAAAAAGAAAACAACATGGATAATAAATAATGCCACATGTAACTGAACATCTGTACTATACAACAAATATTACTGAATCATGTTGCAAATTTGGATAAAATCCAATTGATGTGCATATGAAAGCTTGACAGATGGGAATGATTGTTCTGTACAAAGCACATAATGGTAAAATCAGTTGATTGTAGAGTAAACGACTGAATGGATAATGGTGACACACTTCTCATGTAATTCCAAGTATAAACAGCAAACACAAAAGCTACAGGAACAGAACCGGCTGTTTCTGGACAGATCCAGACATGAAAATAGCAGCATTTAACCAGCACATCCACATTCACTTGGAATGAACAAGAAACCATTAAATAATTACGTTCCTATTCTAAATTACCAACAAATCAGTCGTGATTAGGCAAATGTATAGGAGCAGGCTGGGATTCAATAGAACTGCTAAGACAATAACTTAAAGCAGCACTATGTACATTTTTTCTGTGTTCAAAATTTGCTAAATGTATATAATGAGCGAGTACATCATGAATTAATCTTCCAAAACGCGTTGTTGTCTTATTCCGAATCACTACGGTACACTTATAATAAGTACTTATATTTGGACTATTGTAGCCTGGTCGGGTCGTCACCGCTGCGGAGTAACACATACCTGCGTGAATCGCCATAGACATAAACTTACAGAAGTAGCTCCGGTTGAAATGTTCTTCCGCGGGATGTGTGCAGTTCTGTTTATTAACCGCTAGAGAGCCAAACGTTACATAGTGCTGCTTTAACATCTGAAGATTTAAAATCTATCATATTGAATTCAGTACGGTGTTTTAAATAATGCAGCACAGTTCATTTATCTTCTCTGTGTACCATGCTGTTTATGTTTATCTACCATGCTGTCTAGTTATGCTGTTCTTAGAAAATAATTGACATATTCTTTAAATGTGCTTTTTCTTGCTGACATTTCCCAAGACAGTTAGTGCAGTAGACACATGCTGGGCTCATCACTTATATGCCAAAATGTCAAAACCACCCTCTGAATTACCGAATTCTTTCTAAATTCTTGCAGAAGAACTGCCACATCGCAAGATTAAAACCATAACATTCAAAGATGCTTTCAAAAAAGTCATAACTCTGGAGATTCACCTCTAAATTTTCTAAATCCAACAGACCTCCTGCTATGCAATCTTCATGAATTGTGAAAATGTAGGTATAGCAGATCTCTAAAACATGAAGAAGAGGCAGGCAAAAACCATCTGCAAGAAACTGAACTCACAATGAAGAGTGAAAAGCATACCTCTCAGGACCTCTTAAGTAATCAACTCAATACTCTTAACTGCTTTCTAAATCCAACAGTCATCAATGTCTGCTACATCTTTACGCATTTTTGGAAGTAAAAATAAAAGAGGACAAATCAAAAGGATGTGACCACAATAAGCTACACACTCTGTCTGATAATGATAATATTTGACAACTAATTTGATTAGCGATTAATTGTGCCTATGCACTATGCGCAGAAAACAAATTCTACAATTAAAATCTACATGTAACACAAGTAATTGTATTTTTTATGAGAGTATTAACAATAAAAGGACTACTATAATTGAATATAAATGTAATATGTTCAGATGAGTGAATGTGTGTTCCTCTTACTTCATACCAGGTTTAGTCTTTGCTTTTTGTTTTTCTTTATTATCATTTTTAATTCAGTTATTGTAACTACTTTCAAATAGTAATCAATCGGTTTAATTTTTGCATATAAAGTTTAATTGCCAACATAGATACACTCAATATATTTGTTTTCACTGCCTTCAAATTTCACATTGTTTAGAGGACAACGTTGATGGGAACGTGAAAGAACAATTTTGTAAATAATGGATTAAAATATATATTTTTTTAAATAATTAATCTTTTTTTCTCATCCAATTAATCAACAATGTAACTGTCAAACTAATCAATAGTCAATATAATCATTAGCTGCTACATACATAGTCCCAGTAGCCTAATAAGCACATCCACATTGAATCTGCTGACAAAAGTTCAAAGAAATCTCCACAGATCCACACGTCATTCACGATCCACACACCCTCCACCCCTTGCATGTTTAATAAGTATTACTGCTAATTTGAAAATGCTTTGCAACACATGTTTAGTATTGTTGGCCTTATTTAGCACAACTTATCATACTTAAAGCTATTTCACAGATTTCCTCTTAAAGGTCCCATGACATGCTGCTTTTTGGATGCTTTTATATAGGCCTAAGTGGTCCCTAGTACTGTATCTGAAGTCTCTTTCCCGAAATTCAGCCTTTACGAGCCAGTCCCACAATGAGCTTTCCTTAGGACGTGCCATTTCTGTGTCTGTAGCTTTAAATGCTAATGAGGAGGAGAGAGGCGGGGCAACTGCCATGCTTCGCTCGTTTGCAAGCCATGATGTCTCTCGAGGAAAAAAAAATATTGCGCTCGCCTCGCACGGTAGTAGCTCATTTTCTCATAGGCGGCCCAAATTCTCTGGGCGGGCAAAGCAGAGAAAGGGGAGGTAACCTTTCCCCGTATGACGACATAAAGGGAAGATTCCAGATTGGGCCATCTGAGCTTTCATTTTCTCAAAGGCAAAGCAGGATACCCAGGGCTCGGTTTACACCTATCGCCATTTCTAGCCACTGGGGGACCATAGGCAGGCTAGGGGAACTCGTATTAATGTTATAAATAAAGTGAAATTTTCATGCCATGGGACCTTTAAAGACAGCGCAGTGCATTCTGCAGATTCACCTTACGTTTATGTTAATGCTTTTGTTATGTTACTGGACGCATTGAATCTGTTTGCACTCAAAAAATTAAGTCAAGAGTGTCAATTGCAAATTAAGTTAATTCCAGTGAGCAGAAAAAAGTTCTTCATCAAGACAGACATTGATAGGAAACCATCGTCAACAAGTACTGCACTACATTACAACAATGATCATTAAATATTACTTTGTCTCTTTTGCTTTCTTTGTGTTGTTGGATACCACTCAGTAAGTTTCTATAACACATTTAATATGCACAGGTTCCTTTAGAGCAGGGTTCCTCAAATCTTGCCCTGGAGGGCCAATGCGCTGCAGAGTTTAGCTCCAACCCTGATCAAACTCACCTACCTGTGATTTTCTAATGATCCTGAAGACACTGATTAGTATGCTCAGGTGTGTTTGATTAGGGTTAGAGCTAAACTCTGCAGGAAAGTGGATCTCGTGGGCCAGATTTGAGGATCCCTGCTTTAGAGTGTAGAATGAAACATGTTTACTTTTTCTATGACGTTTGCAAAGATTTCAATCCAACAATAAGCTTGAAAAAAGTTTTGTCACTCTTCTTACCTCTTTCACATGTCGTTTTAAGTGCATGTACACGCTCTGTCCAGTTTTATGGTAATGTCTCTCCACATGTTCTCTTCCGAAACCCAGGAATGAGTTCATACACACATACAGACCTCCTTCTGATTCCTAAAGAAAATGATGAAACAAGTCAAATGTGGCCAAGTAATTTTATACTTCATATTAAATGTAAATAATTATATTAAGTTACATTTACAAAACAAATGTGAACAAAACTGCTGTTAGAGAGTGTTCAAGTCATAAACAACATCAACATACAAACACATGAAAAGAGGAAACACTTTAACGTAGCAGAACATAATCGAAAACACCTGCATCGAACAGTCTAGGGCTTTACTGAATTTTAATGCAGAGTATCTGCTCTGTGTTATTAGAAATAAAATTATTAGACATAAAAGTAAAATTATAAATAAACCTAAAATTGCATAATGCTCAGAATTTTGCCTTTTACTTTTATCATTTAAATTACTACAGTAATGGTGCTCTTTTTTGTTGCTGTACATGTTTTCAGGCATATATTGCCATAACATGGCTTTTTGGACATGTGTCATGATATATACGTTTGGTTATCAAGATCATTCACATAATTTATAATGGCATAATGCTTGTTTATGTACAGTGGGTAACACTCAGTGATTCTGTTTTTATTTTTTTCTGACTTGTTGGTGTTATATCTTTCACATGGGTGTTATAAGTTGCACTGAGTAAATATAGCTTGATAAAACAAAAACCGTGTTCATCTTCATTTCAGGCTGCAAAGCAACAAAATGTGATTATTTTAAAGGTGGGTGATTCTTTTCTATACCCACTGTAAGTTATCAAGGTTGTTTTCAGTACTGTTTTGTTCATTTTAAATTGAAAAATTCATATAAAACAATAAGAGTAATACAATAAGAGTTAGTGATACAGAATAAACAAATAAGAAGTTTAATCTGGGTCAAAACACTGAATTGCATGGCCGGTGTTTGTAGGTTAGGGTGTTGAGGTCTCACCAGACTGAAAAAACCTGTCACTAGCTCCTGGTGGTGACACACGAGCTTGAACAGATAGTGTGTAAAAATAACCTGTCTTTTAGTCTGACATGTGGAACTCCAAACAGCTGAGTCACCTTTAAAACTTTTAGATCTGTTAGCTAGTTGTGCACTTTACCCACATTTATTTAAATATTCCCATCAATGCTTAAAAAAAAAATACATGGTATTCTATATATTATTTGTGGTCAGAGCTTGTACACTTGAGTATGTATAACAGCCCACACTGATCTGGATTCTTTTTATAGCTCATAGCTGCTTACTGCTTATTAGTGTACATTTAGGAAATCAGTTTTCACATATAGCAAGCTACACAACATTCGTTAGTCTCTTGATGTCAAGCAAATATCATAACGTACAGCATGATCTCAACAAGTAGCCTAGCTATCACACTACTAGGATGAGATGGGGCTATTTTTAAATCATACAGACCCGACATTCCTCATGGACCGAGGGATGTGACGACGAAAACATTGGAACATTGAGGGATGGAGGGTGGTGTCTGGTGTGCTGGGGGTTTAGGGGAGGGAGACAATGGGTGTCCCCTTGGAGAAACAGGCAATATTTGACATTATTCACCCTGACGCCAAGTGGTGGCGTTTTCAGATAACTTACGCTCAATGAGTTTGATGTGTTTATAACGGCTGTGGCATGTAGTATACTTCAGTACAGAACAACTTAACGTTATCTTTTTTTTTATTTTATCTTTTAACTAGCAAATGATTTTTCTGAAATATGATATGTATTATGTTGTCTTAATTATCATTGTTTTTTTTATTTCCATTTTGTTATGCATAACATTTTATGCTCTTCCTCTTTTATTATAAAATTGGTTTCATCTTTAATCTGTTATATTAATTCAGATATGTTTACATGTTGTCATGATAAGTACTTGATTGTTTTTTTTAAAGGTGCTATACCAGCGATTATGTAAAATTTAAATTTACATTGTTATTATCTATGCAATGCATCATTTAATCTACATTAAATCACTTTTCTTTTAATAATATTTCAATAATAATAATTATGTCCTCAAATTTTTTATTTTATTTTAATTAAAACATAAAATATATTGAAACTCATGTTTTAGACTGACATATTAAAAGACAATAGACTGAAATACAGTAGTTCGGCTGTTTGCTTGGAATAATTTACAAACTGAAATTTTATTTTATTCACAGTTCTGAAACTATCTTTTAATTTACATAAGCTTCTGATGTAGTACTTCAACACTTCACTATTACTATTATTACGTATTTCAAATGTCTAAAATGATTAAAATGTCTAATTTTAGTGTGGCTTGACTGCAATAATACAATTTTTTTTTATAATATCTAGGTTTTGATTCCAATTGTTTTTGGTGGCATTTGCTAACTTGAGTATTTGACATAATACTCACAGGAGAGTCGTAGGAAAAAGCGCATTCGCTCTTGAAAACCCTGTCTCCCCTCCTTGGTACTCTAATGGTGGGCATGTACGGGACAAGTAGCTCTCCCAGATCTGTAGCCATCTTCACATTCCTGCTGCTCGCACCACTATGAGCCTCGCTGGAGCAGCGTGTCAGGCAGAAGATGAGATGGGGCTATTTTTAAATCATACAGACCCGACATTCCTCATGGACCGAGGGATGTGACGACGAAAACATTGGAACATTGAGGGATGGAGGGTGGTGTCTGGTGTGCTGGGGGTTTAGGGGAGGGAGACAATGGGTGTCCCCTTGGAGAAACAGGCAATATTTGACATTATTCACCCTGACGCCAAGTGGTGGCGTTTTCAGATAACTTACGCTCAATGAGTTTGATGCGTTTATAACGGCTGTGGCATGTAGTATACTTCAGTACAGAACAACTTAACGTTATCTTTTTTTTATTTTATCTTTTAACTAGCAAATGATTTTTCTGAAATATGATATGTATTATGTTGTCTTAATTATCATTGTTTTTTTTATTTCCATTTTGTTATGCATAACATTTTATGCTCTTCCTCTTTTATTATAAAATTGGTTTCATCTTTAATCTGTTATATTAATTCAGATATGTTTACATGTTGTCATGATAAGTACTTGATTGTTTTTTTTAAAGGTGCTATACCAGCGATTATGTAAAATTTAAATTTACATTGTTATTATCTATGCAATGCATCATTTAATCTACATTAAATCACTTTTCTTTTAATCATATTTCAATAATAATAATTATGTCCTCAAATTTTTTATTTTATTTTAATTAAAACATAAAATATATTGAAACTCATGTTTTAGACTGACATATTAAAAGACAATAGACTGAAATACAGTAGTTCGGCTGTTTGCTTGGAATAATTTACAAACTGAAATTTTATTTTATTCACAGTTCTGAAACTATCTTTTAATTTACATAAGCTTCTGATGTAGTACTTCAACACTTCACTATTACTATTATTACGTATTTCAAATGTCTAAAATGATTAAAATGTCTAATTTTAGTGTGGCTTGACTGCAATAATACAATTTTTTTTTATAATATCTAGGTTTTGATTCCAATTGTTTTTGGTGGCATTTGCTAACTTGCAAAAAAAAAAAAAAAAAAAAAACAAAAGAATTTTAA